GAGAGGAGGGGAATGATAGAAACATTGATGTGAGAGAGACACATTAATTGGTTGCTTCCCGCACGTGCACGGACTGGGGCCTGGGATCAAGCCTGGAACCGAGGTATGTGCTCTTAGCCATAATCGAACCCCGGATCCTTCAGTCCACACTCCACAGGATGACACTCTAACCACTGAGCCAAACTGGCTAGGGCTTTTTTTTTTTCTTCTTCTTTTTTTTAAGATGTCATTTTAGAATAATGATATATAATGCCTCCTGGAAGATGAAATTGCCTTTTAAATTCCTCTATATGTACTACTTTAACATCTTACAAGTTTATAGCCCCTTTCTCCAGAAAAGGGTATTATTTTGTAGAACAAAAATAAACACACACACCCCTTTTGTTAAAATCATATTCTCAATATGATATAACCCTTAGGCTACTAAAATGCTACCATGTTGCTTCAGAAATTAACAAAGTGGTGACATCACTCCAATTCTATTCTGAATAAAAAGACATGATTTTATATAAATACCTCTTAATACCATAATTCCCACAAACTCCGGATTTAGGAGAAAAAATAACCTTAAAAATATATACAAGAGATACATAGATATGCACACAAAAATAGTTTGCAAATCTAAACCTTTAGTTTGAAAATGCTGTATCTGTTTCATTTCTGTATATGAACTACATGTCACAGTAAAGTGAAAATGTCATATGATGTGTGTATGACTTTTTTACACTAGAGTTACGTTAAAGTCTTTTCATACTTGATGCAAGTATAATCTGAGAAAATACTTCCTGCAGAACATAATAAAGGAAATGAAACCATCATAACTGATGTTTACAAAGCCCTTTATAATTCAAAAACAATTTTACATGCATTATTTCATGTACCTCTCAGAACAATCTTGAGATAAGTACTCCACTTTGCACAGAACTAAACAGATTCTGAGAAGGCAAGTGATCTGTCCAGAGAGAGAAGGCTGCTCAGTGAAAGAACCAGGATTAGAATCTAAACCTTCTAAATCCAGCATTGTTTGCACACATTTAATACCAAATTTTAGTATACCACAGGAAGTTTTTTTTTAGGGTTAAAAAAAAACCTTATTAAAACATAGACTCCTATTATTACATCAAATTTTTAAATACTGCTTTCCAAACATTAAAAATGCTTATTTTAAACTATTATACAGAAGACATTCAGTTGGGCAAAGAAAATTATCAGGTAATGACTATAATCTATACTGTTCCAAGTTTGTTTTTATTAAGTAATCATTTTTAAAAAATAGCCCTGTTTCTTCAGGCAACGATAGTGCAATCAAGAACTCAGTCACACTTGACAGCAACACAGACATTTGGAGAAGCATAAAGTTATGTTCCCTGTTTCTACTCCCTTCAAAGCAGTGGGGTTCCCCCCACCCCGGTTTACGTAACAACCCTTAAGATTTTTGCCCCCAAATTAAGAAAATGTAAAGCAAAAAATTTAAACCTCCAGACTTCATACTAAACTACAAAATTAAGTTTCAGTAAGAAAACAAAACTACACGTTAGACAAAATTAAGGCTGAAATTAAACATTGTTTTCATTTCTACAATGTGTTTCACAAAAACATATGCCCAGATGTCTTCAACTGCCAAGACACTCCTTAAAAGATAGAGCCTAGGCCTCTTACCCGCTCCCCTCCCCCACAAAAAAATCTATTCCCTGAAATACACCTGATAATCCACTCGGACAATTTTTGAAGTTCTGTCCATATGTTAGGTAGAAAATTATTTGTATTCATTCCAGGGCTACAATTACAGCTAATTAGCAACCAAAGAAAATCAGCTAAAAGTATTTAACCACAATGATGCAAAAGCGAGCACTACAGAAAACACCAGTGTCATTTCTTTTTGCACTCCTAGCAACTATTTTTCCTATTACTACAACAGACAAACCAATCGAAATGTAATGCCAAGACGCCTGCTGAGATACTAGGGAATTTAATAAACCTACAGTGAAGGAAGGGTAAGGGCATAAATACGAATAATTAAATTCACAACACATCGGTAGTGGTTCCTTTTTTGAAAAGTACATAGTGGTTTCCTATAAAAAGCCTTACATTAGCAAGAATGCCAAAATTCTAAAATTCAACAGTAAAAACATAAGTAGAAACAGGCGGTGACTGTCTTTTCCACACGAAGCTGCATTTTTACCTGTTTTAATTAGATTCTATACTGTCGCTAGCTACATAGCCAGCTCTCACAGGGGCTCGGGGAGATGGGCGATATTGACTTTAGCAAACCGTTTTAAAGCTCTTGCAAAAAACAAAACACAACCCTCCCATGAACGTTGCAGCACGAAATTGACAAATGCAACACACACAGCATGCTTTTCACAGAAAGGGGGCTCTCTTCCTGTCTTTGTCTTCTCCGGGAGATTTCATTTAAACCAAAAACTCAAAAAGCCAAAGAACAAAAAACGACCCTTTGCCTCAGGAGGGGAGCAGCGACGTCCGCGCAGGGCCGG